GTAGGTGAGGCAAATTAAAACAAAACTTTAAAACAGGTCGGTTGTAAAATTTTCGCCTTTTCTTGGCGACCCCCTGGTGCTTAAATGCAGTCTCAAACGCATAGCTCAAGTTTGCCGCTGCCAATCCTAATGCCATGTTCCATTCCCATTTCAACTCTAATGACAATATATTCGTCTCGACTGAAAATGCCCGATTGCCCACTTAAGACCTCAGCTGTGCATGCAAGAAGGGTTGGACGGCCACACGGGCATAGAGACCCCCTCCTGCACTACCGTGCTGCTGAATGCTAGAAGTAAGAACAGCACAAGTGCATTTGGCTGTTGCCAAATTCAATGTTATAAAATACGAATTTCCCCCAAAACATGTACCATTCTCAACATTAAATCTTTCAATTTTTTTTATTTTTATTTTTTTTCCCATTTTTTATTTTTTTTTCAAATTATTTTAGAGCTCATCAGCATTTCGAGGGGAAAAATTCATGTTTTTTCTCAAAATAGACAATTTTACTCAAGATTGTGAAATTCATAACATTTCAAACTTCCTTGACTACTCAAGTCCAAATTCTAGGGTTGCCCCCTAATTACCCGTGGTTTCACCAAAATAAACATCTGACAATGAGTGAATCTAAGAGGTGGCCGAGGAGGGCTGCCTCCCCCGCAAACTGCTTGGCCCTCCCAAGAGATGCGAGGAATTTTGATTTGTAACTGTGTAAGATATCTTTCCTTTTTGAAATCGTAATTCGGTAAACCCGGAACGAACAGCGAACAACTCAAAATTTCTCCTGAGACGACTCAATTTTTCAAAATTTTCTCTGGAAAGCCTCCCGAACCGCCTTCAAGGCTGAGAAAATCCGGCAACCCTCCGCGGCTTTCCCTCCATGGGGTGTCTTTTGGTGCCCCTACGACCTCCTTGGATGAGGTCCCACAAAAAGTTCCTAGTTCTGGCCATGCCTGACTAAACTAGCCGAACTGTCTTGACTTGCTCTATAAAAAGTCAGAAAATGAAAATACTAAAATAGATATGAAATTCAGCATGGGTTTCGTTCGGCCGCTTTGACCAAAAAGTAGGGCCAAAAAAAAGGGAGAAGGAAAAAAAAGGGGGAAAAAAAGCATTTCATCCTTTCTTCTTTAAATTGCCTAAAATTGCCTAACTTCAGCGACCCTTTACTGAGGACAATTTGGCAACTTTCATAAGCTCTTAAGACGTTCTACTTGCCGAAGACTCGAGCAGCGCACGTGTAACAAAGGCGACCGAAAGTGTCAGATCATAAAGCACCACCGGGAGGGCGATAAATCCGCCCGGACATTATTGGCCACAAGGTTGCCAAATTCCCTTAAAAAACAACAAACTTCCCATCGAGTCAGGCGATTCCCACGACGGCCCGACAACCTCGCCTCGGAGTAACCCTACCCACACGCCGAGTCGACACCCAACATCAAACTCAAAAAGGAGCAGCGGGGCCTCACGCTGGGCGTGCGAAAAGGGGGCAGTAATGACGAGCGGTATAGCGAACCCTGAACCCGGCGAACAGAAGCCAAATCGCCGTACACGCGCGCTCCTGGTCACGGGTCACCGAATCGGTGCATGGAGCATGCGTGGTCAAGGGTCACCGGGTCCCGTGTTGGGGTCAAGTCTACGGACCTGCGTCCGCAGCCACCTCGTCTTTTTGTCGGCTCAAAACGTTGGTTTCATTTGTATCCGTCGGGAAGGAAAAAGTAAGATTGCCGTAATTTATGCATCTCCTAATTCCCTGACTTTCCCTGATTTGTTTCTGACTATTTTTGCGTATTCCTGATTCTAAAATTTTCTGATTCCTTGACTTTCCCTGAACTTCGAAAAAAATGTGATTGGTTCTCCACTTCCTCGGTTTAGTACACGGAGAAAAAAACTTCGTGCATGGCACCCGAAGTTGAGGTCATATGGATCTCTGAAGTTTTCGGATCACGCATCCAAAAACTTGAGGTTCAACTGTCGAAGTTCGGGTCAGACATCCGAATTACTTCGGTAAGTATACCGGAGTACTCAGATGTGTGACCCGAACCCGTCGGTATGTACCTAGGTACTTCCGATGTCTGACCCGAACTTCGGCACCTAGACCTCAAGTTTTCGGATGCGAGATCCGAAAACTTCAGAGATCCATATGACCTCAACTTCAGGTCCCATGCACGAAGTTTTTTCCTCCGTGTAGTAGTAGTAGTGGTATTCTTCTTTTTTTCCTCTCTCTTCCATCTGAGCTTGTTTTTCATCCGCATCACTGATATTACGCGTAATAGTGTTTCACATAAGTTGGCTCTGAACATCGAGTGATCTCTCTCGCGATGAAAGCGAGTGCGAGCGGTCAACCTTCCTCCGAATATAATTTTACGAGTCTTATTGTGTTCGAGCTTCAAGTTCATGCTCATGCTCCGAGCTTTGACAAGTCTCTTGTGTCACCCGACGCCTCCCTCTCCGAATGTGCGCGTTACGCACCGAAGATCTTACGTACAAGCCTGGCTCCTCTAAAAGGCATTGAAACATTGAATTCTCCAATACTTGACCAACGGGAGGAAAGGAGTCTTCTTTTTCGAGAAAATTCTTGGGTTTTTTGTTTTTCTGCCTAGTCAACTCGATAAAACAGTGACTCAGGTAGTATGATGATCTATTATTTTTCCTGGAGAATTATTTACGTAAAAAAAGGAAAAAAGAATACTGAACAAGCTGCTTAAATATGTATACTCTCAACTTTCTGGAAGTACGTTGATTCCATTGTTCAATTAACCAATTGCTGAAAGATCGCAAATGCAAATGATTAATGCTACCGCTAGAACTTTCCCACCATCTTTTACAGGGCAAGATTGCACGAATTGTACTGCTCGCTGACGGGGTGCGCCATTTTTCCATTCATGGACAAACTCAGCTCCTACTTTGGAGCCATGATAACTAACAAGATGACAACAGGATTCTTTTTACACGAGATTTTTAGTTTCAAACTTCTGATATAATACCTGAAGAAAAAAGTGGCCAAGAATTTCTTTTTTTTTACTTTCAAGAATATAATTTATTTCTTCCTCGCCGATACAAACTCTCTAAATAGGGTTTGTTTACATAGTCTTTAAGAGCCGTCGGCGGTAGCTGGAAACCGAAAACTGATAGACCAATCAGAGAGCGACATAGACTTTGCAAAACTCTCCCAGTATAGATATTCAAGATTTGCCGAGCCATTTTCCTCCGGCAGGATTTTTTTTTATGTCAAAATAAAAAATAAGGCGATAGAAAACCATCATTTCAGCTTTTTAAAATGCTATCGTGTTTAACGAGCAATGAGAGGTATTTTGCCGCTGGAGAAAACGGGTTTTTTTCGCATTCACGTCCAACGAGATATTCTTCTTCAGACCGAACTGTCTCCGAGTATCACGCAATCGACGATTCCCGTATCTGGGGTCGGATCTGAAGAAGCTGCCAAAATCGGAAGCCCGGGCGTTCGGAGATGACTGACACCGCGAATTCAATTACTTCGCGCATCGAGAACGATGCGATCGAACTGGGCTGCGATGAGTCGAGTCGCCAAGGCCGCGGAGAAGATGACGAAACCCGAAAACGAATCTCTTCTTCGTCTCCGGCCGCGACGCGACAATGCTACCGTGCTAAGGAAAAACGCCGTAAGAACATTCGAGAGTTGCCAAATTTCCTCCGATAAAACGTTTATTTTGGAAGAAAGTTATGCGTATTTTTCCTTGATATTGTCAGATATTTTCGATCAAAAAGCGAGAAATATTGTCTGAAAAATTGGGAGAAAAATATTCTTAACTTTCTTGGTACATTAGTATTTTATCAAAGGAAATTTGGCAACATCCGATAGCTCATACGGCGTTTTTCCTTAGCACGGCAGAAAGGCTCGAGCGAACTCGCTGGACGATGCCCCGCGCTACTCAAAAGGCGGCCCACCTCGTCTGCATATCATTTCCGCCCACTTCCTACATCGTCCTCCGGGAATTTCAGCGTGGGCCCGCCAACAAAAGCGCCTGCATTGAAGACGACTTTGAAGAATCCGCGCGCGATGCTCCCGTTTGTTATCTCATGCTAGATAAAAGAGGTGGGGGGGGGAGGAGGGGATTCCCTGACAGCTACGCGGTTCAGCCTTTCACGGGCTCTCCGAAGCATCAGAGGCCCTTTGCTAAATTAAATAATGTAATTGAGTTAGGCGAATGTTATATTCGGAGGTCAACGCTATTTTTCGCCTGATGGTATTGATGGGCAACTTTCTGAGCCAAAATCTGATAGAATTTGGCTAATAATGAGTGAAGAAGGTCGGAGTGAGTACTTTGAGAGGAGAGTATTTGGAAATTAAGTTGTAGGCTACACTGAAAAATAGTTACGGGATATATAGATATACTATCCGTTCTGGGCTCAGAAGCCGAAAGTTCCGGCTGCTGGAACCGTAGCTTCGACTGTTCCGGGTGCTAAAACCGGAACGCGGACGATATGTCCATAAAGCCTGTAATTATGGCCTCCACGGCTGGAGTTTTTTTTTTGTTTTTTTTTTTTTCAGTGTAGAGTCATTCCCAGGGTACAAATAGTCCCTGTACAAAAAATCTTACTTTTTGTCTACAGTTGGCTGAAGGCTCCTTGACTGGAGTATAAGCCATGAAGTCCTCAACAGAGGCAGAATAATGAGAAGAAGAAGAATGAAAAGAAGAAGAAAAAATGGTTAGAATTGCAAAACAAATTATTCAATTCTTCTGTCATGAATTGGACTGCATTTTGCAATTTGGACCTATAAATTCTAGCCCGGTTTAAAAAGAACGTATGTGCCATTAGTTTTACTATGCACATAAGTGTTTTTTCAGACGAGCCAGAATTTTTAGGTCCAAATTGCAAAATGCAGTCCAATTATCGTTTGATGAATGTGAACGTTGACTTTCGAAAATAAATTGTCTCTGTCTTCCTGGAAAGTTGTGAAAATAATGTTATCTCAGCATTGTGGTTATGTGAACTGGTGTTTTTTGGTGTTTGTTTCCAGGTGGATTGGAAGAGAGTCCTCGGGCGAAGAGGCCGCGGGCCCCCTCGGTGGATGAGCTGAGTCGGGACCCGGACCAGCACCTGGAGAGCAGCTCGGACGCCCCCGAGGAACGGGACCGGCCCAAGGGCGGCCCCGGCTCCCCCACCGTCCCGCCGGCCTTCCTCAGCCCCTCCGTCCTCGAGTACCTCGAACTAGGAAAATCCATCCCAGGTGAGGCCCCTGCTACTTTTTATTGCCACCGACACGACTCTTATGTGGTTGCACACACAAAGGCGGATTCAGCAAATTGGCAACATTTTTTTACCCCCATTAAAACATATGGAAATGTATCGATTCTTGGAGGGGTCAGGTGCTCCGACGAGAATCGATTGTTCAACATAGGTTTAAATGGAGGGAATCCGATGTTGCCTATTTCCTGGATCCGCCAATGTGCATACACAGCATTCTCAAGGCGAAATTTCTTAAGAAATCCTTCAAGACAGCTTTCCTGATAATAGTGATAAGGGTGCTACTTAAACTTGAGCGATAATAATTTAGGCCCCGCAGTGGGGTTGGACTGCACCTACGATACCGAGGCGTCTCCTTAACGCTGATGCTGGCGCCGAGAATCCCTGTACGGAGAAAAAAACTTCGTGCATGGGATCCGAAGTTGAGGTCATATGGATCTCCGAAGTTTCCGGATCACGCATCCAAAAACTTGAGGTCCAACTGCCGAAGTTCGGGTCAGACACCTGAAGTACTTCGGTATGTACCGAGTAGTTCAGATGTGTAACACGAACCCTTCGGTATGTACCTAAGTACTTCAGATGTCTGACACCAACTTCGGCAGCTGGACCTCAAGTTTTCGGATGCGTGATCCGAAAACTTCAGAGATCCATATGACCTCAACTTCGGGTCCCATGCACGAAGTTTTTTTTTCTCCGTGTGGGGGCTGGGCCGCGCAGTGGTTAGGTTAGGTTCTTTACAAAAAAAACGTGTGAGCCTTGGAAGATCCTCAAAATTTGACTATCTGTCTGGGTTACTTATACAAAAGTTGGCAATTTACTGAAGTTGCGAAGTGTCCATGAGGGTTGGGCCGCTCGGGAGTCCGGACAGGGGCGGGGGGCGCCCTGCTGGTAACTATTAATTCACCCCGTTTCAAAGTTGGCGGGTCGTCATAACGTGGCAACGACGGCCTCGACCGGCAAGCGGCAACCTACTTCTAGCAGCTCAGCCGGGAGTCACACCATCACAGCCTCAATTCTACGGGGCTCACGCACTCACACGCGGGCACTCCGACCGCGCTGCTCTATTTCCTTTCACTTCCATCCCAGATCCCCCCCCCCGCCTCGCTGGATCCCCGTCTACGTCGTGCGCCCGATAACCCCCCCCTTCAATCCCGTACCGCCGATATAATTGTGACACCGAAAAACATAATTTTACATTTTATTTATTTTTCCATGGGTTTAGTCGTCACGGAGAGGACCCTGGAGACTTAAACGAAGAAGAAGAAACGTAGGAGTAATGATGGTTATTAGGTATTTCGCAGGGAAGGAGTATAAACCTCTCTGATGATTACGTGTATTTCGCAAGGAAAAATACTTAAGTTTATCTAGAATACCAAATTTTTCGCCGCAGGGCTGCAGGCAACGAAGTATTCAGTTAAGGGAACCGAACTTTGGTTTCGAGGGCTGATAACCTTCCTGCAAACTTTATGAATTCCGGGAGATTCGGGTACGGTGTAATGATGCAGTGTGCCTAAAAAGTTGTCCGAGCCAGGGTCTGCTTGTAGTAACCCAACCATTGCTCAATAGCCAACGAGAGAATAGGCCGACACTTGAAAGATAAAACCCTGAAATAAGTAGTTTTCGTCGCTGCTAAGATACCAGTAGAGGGTCTTCATTTGCCTCGGTCTGGATTGGAATTATCCTCGGGAAGAAGGAGTAAGTCCAAAGTGAGGGATAGGATTGTTACGGTCCCTCCTTAAAAATAGTGTTGTTCAACAGCTCGGCTGATATTTTCCGATTTGTCATGTTTCAGGTCGGCCGGGGACGGACTACCCGATTCTGTCGGTGGTGCCTTACACGGACTTCTACTGCGACGACCAGCTCTACCCGGGGTTCTTCGCCGACACGGAGACGCGGTGCCAAGCGTGGCACTACTGCGACATTGACGGACGCCAGGCCTCCTTCCTCTGCCCCAACGGCACCCAGTTCAGCCAGGCCGTCTTCGTCTGCGACTGGTGGTTCAACGTTCGCTGCGAGCTCAGCAAGCAGCTTTACGCCATCAACGACCGGCTCTACCGACAGCCCAAACTCAGCCCCACCCGCCCCCACCGCACCATCACTAAACAGCTCCTTCAGGACATCTTCACTTGAGCGACGCACCGGCTGCATAACCATCCAGGAGCTTCCAGCAAGCATCTTCATCTGATCACTACGCCGGCTGTGAAACCATTCGGAAGCTCTTAGTGGCATCTTGGCCTAAACGCCACACCGGCTGCGCAACCACCCAAGATGAGCTTTCGGTGGAGTCTCCAGCTGAACGCCAGGCTGGCTGCATGACTATCCGGAAGCTTTTACTGATGACCGATTGGCCAAGGCTGTGAATAGCCAGGAGCTTTCAGTGGCTACTTCACCTGAAAGCCACACAACCTGTCCTACATGCCATCCGAAAGCTCTCAGAGACATCTTCATTCTAACGCTGCATTCGCTGCTTGGTCAAGATTTTGCACGATTTACGTCAACTTTTGAAGTCGAGGGAAAATCGTTCCCAAATACTTTAAATTCTCACCTTCTTGGGTGCTTCATAAAATTTAGGTATTAAACTCTACTGCGCGTAAATCAACAGGCTCGAAATTGTGAAAAAAAGCCGTCATTGATAGAATAAATAATCAAATCAGTGGATTATCGCAACGTAAGTCGCATAAAAACTTACTGAAAACGATAAGAAAAAACCCTGTAATTTGGTATATACCAGACAAATTATTCGATTCTAAGCTTCCATGACAATTTAGCAGCTGTGAAATGACAAAGAACACAACACGAGGTGCTTTATTTTTGAATCGAGTGACATAATCAAACAGGTTAATAATATCTACAAATCCTCTTTAAAAAATTTCATTCATCGGTTGCTATACCTTCTGATTGCGGCGTTAACACATCTGACTCTATAAACTGTGAAATGCTTATCAACCAAACTTGATCTCAGTAGCTTTAACTATGTTATTTATCTGCGCCATCAAATGACAGCTTTGCTGTTTAACTGTAAGATAGTGTTTACACCGACATTTAATTTGAAATCAATAGGGGAATGTAACACCGAAAAGAGAACAGTAAAACTACTGTAGCTCTATAAAATGATATTCCATTGACTTTCCATTGTGAGACCATTTTTAGAGAGCGAGCTAGGCATGGAGTTAGACGACAATGGAATGGTTTTAAATACCGTCGAATGTAATCACCAGTGCAATCAATGACAATGGAACTCTATTAATTATTACACTATCAGGTTTAAATTTTATGAGATTTGGTAAAAAATAATACTAGGAGGAAGCTTTTAATGTGACTGACAAAGAAGATTCGTAATTTGCTCTCAAGAATTGGAAAAAATAAGGTGGAATTATTTATTTACTTATTTATTCTTTTATTATTTCCACCACTCTAAAGTAATGTCATCCCTTCCCTACCTCTTCTCAAATTTTTGTCATATTTTATAAATATGAGCAAATGTAAAGCATCTAAAGTGTACAAGAACATTGTAAACCTTCTTTGAAAACACAGAAAAAAATACAATACGATAGTTCTGCAATAAATATTTAAGATGATATGTGCCGTGATTCAACTGAGCTTCCTTCAACCTTCCTTTGGAATATGCCAGAGGGCAACTTCATTTGGATGAATCCTGAATTGGGATTCACACAGCATAACCTTCTCGGCTTTTCGCAGTGCGCTCTTATCTAGAAGCGGCTTAAAGGTATTAACGAGTTGACTATGAAAATACACGCTGTGAAAGAGACGATATAAATACTCCAAAAACTTAAGGTTTACATTTGTAATGCTATTGAAAGCGAGCTCTACTTTTCTACCCATGCGTTTAAGTCACCGAGATTGCGCTGGAATCATCAATAGAGTCGACGCCGACGAGCGATTTTTCGCGCCTCGAAATTATTCGAATAGAATTAGGTATCTTTAAACTCTGGGGTACTAATTTAAAAAATCGGGACCTGTGATGATAATTGAATGAACTCAGCGCTTAACTTTCCATTTTTAGTTTTCCTGGAGAGAGGGGGGCTTGTTTTGGCGTATGAGCAGCATAATAACCATGGGAGCACGTGTGATTGCTAAGAGTACCCATGTACAAATAAATAAAGTTAAAACCTTCTTGTTCGTTTCTTGTTTTAGTTAAATTCAACATAATTGAACAGTCTATAATTTAACACTGAGAAAAAAACACATTGGATCTAGAGTCCAGAGTCTCTTAAAAACATCGACAAGAAATAATACTCTTGAGTTAATCGGATTTTTGCTTAAAACAAGAACCAAGCCTCTTAATTTGAGCGGATTTCCTTTTGATTTAAGAAAAAATCTGATTGAATCAAGAGTATTTTTTCTTGTCAATGGTTTCAAGAGTCTGGACTCAAGATCCAATGTGTTTTTTTCCCAGTGAATGGTTTAAATGAGTGTATTCACTTTTGGTTCATTTGATTCTTCAAAGTCAAGTCAACACAGATCTCCAAAGTAATAAAATAACGACTTATCCTGGAACAGAGAGCGTAGAAATGTCAGGTTTTAAACACTAATTTCAAGCAGAATTCTCTCATTAAATAAATATTTTTCATTCCCTCATAAATCCCGGTACTTCCTAGTTTTCAATCAGAATTTCAAGCAGAATTCTTTCATTAAATAAATATTTTTCATTCCCTAATAAATCCCGGTACTTCCTAGTTTTTCCAATTTCTGGACAACACTGATTAGAGTTATTTTATACCTAGAAAAAACAAAAACGCGGCATCATCGAAACTTTCGCGAAATTCTACGTTGAATCGCGAGTCTTCCGCTCTTGTTCCTCGATGGCACGAAAGTTCCTCATTGCAGAAAGACCTGCGTCATCATGGTTGATGTCATCTTCATCTGGACCCGGGATGAGTTGCCGAAGGATGAGATCCTAGGTCTGATGGCTGGCGCCGATAGCCCGCCAGTTATACAATCGCCTCTATCCGTTTCAAGAGCCTTTAGCCGATCATAGCGCTGACATTCGATGCGAGGCTATTGTTCGATCATCTTCGGCTCATTCCGCCCGACACTTCTTATTACACGCCGCTGTCGTCCGAATTGAGATAACTCGTTGACGACCTAATCAAACGCCACGCCGCGCGCCGCACAATGGATCGAGGCAATCGGAGAGGTCGGACAAGAAATTTTTGACTAAAACTGCAAATTTTGATGTTTATTTCGTCATATTTTATTTCAAGGGGTGGTTTTAGAAGAAAATTTCACGAGAAAACCAATGGAACCACTTTTAGAACCTCAAAGTTTTATATAAACGGAGTTACAAGCGTTTAAAGTTTCCGAATTCTGTCCGACCTCTTCAATTGACTCGATCCACCGTGCGCCGCGCAATGTCAAAAGAGTTGAGTGTTGATTGCGTGCGCAGGAGAGAATGCATTGTGATTACACGAATCAGGCGAACCCATTCAAACCCCGAATTTTGAATTTGGCACTCGCAGAGTATGATTTCCGAGTGCTTTGGAAATGGAGAACTGCGAGTGGACAAAGCGACGAAGAATGATTGGAATGTTGCTGGTTAGCGATACTAACAAAACAAAATAAAAAGAGGACATTCAAAAACTGAGACGCGACATCAGGTGTTCCTATAAGATTGAGGCGTTGGGTGCAGAAAGAGCATTTCTTGGTTGCGGTGTTTCAGAGTCTCCACTGCTAATTTGTATTTTAAAGAGGAAATATTCGGGGAATTTTCTGAAAGTCTTAGTTTACAGCATTGTAAAATCATATTGAAAATTCAGTAGACGTTTTAACGGATTCCGTGCATTGCTTCAATAAAAGTAGATGAAACGTTAACGAAAATTCTGAGACGCCGCAAACTAGAGATGTCCTTTTCTGCATCCAGAGCTTCGATTGTGCGTATTCCTCACTCTAAAAGAGCTTGAACTCCTCTAGTTTAGAACCCAGCCAAAACCAGAATCGGTCCGACTGTATTTCACGTTGAGTATATTCCTCTCACGTTTTACCTTGTTTAACAGAAAAGTAAATAATTTGACGTCATGAAACTATGTGTAATTCCCGGGATTATGAAAAATATAATCACAAAATTTCAACTTAGAATGTTGCTTGCTGTTAGTTTCCTGTTGAACAAATAAAATACGGGAGGATATTGGGTGAAGTCTGATGTGGTTCGGCTCATTCTGATTCATCAAACGACCGTCCATTGGACGAGAAACATATCAATAAGTTTCTCGTCTTTAAAAATCAATTGATTGAAAACACGAGAAAAAACGCGTTTTTTGATCAATTTTCATTACCACACTGGAAAAAAAAACACATTGGATCTAGAGTCCAGACTCTAAAAAAACATCGACAAGAAAAAGTACTCTTGATTCAATCAGAATCTAGCTTAAAGCAAGAACCAAGCCTCATAATTTAGCGGATTTCGTTTTGATTCAAGCAAAAATCCGATTGAATCAAGAGTATTTTGTCTTGTCAATGTTTTCAAGAGTCTGGACTCTAAATCCAATGTGTTTTTTTTTCCAGTGCAAAATATCGACTAATTGAGAGCTCTTCGTCAAAAAATACAAAACTTGGTAAATCAGCAAAAGACTGACTGCCTGAGCATTCGCACAATACCTTATTGGACTGATGGCCTTCGATAAATATTGCGAGGGTAAAAAAATACATCTTAAATCGGTGCAGAACCGATCGTTCCGATAGCTCTGACGCAAAAGCGTGGAGTCGATTCGAAGATGACCTCCATTCGTTGTCAAGGCGCTGATCACTTTACAGTAGCCTTCAATTTTAGCACTTGACACTTTGTATAAGTTTGGCTCTTGATCGAAATTATAGAAATCATTTCCCAGGAAACGATAAAAGATAATAATAATTAATCAGAATTCAACCAGGTATCCGACTGGCGAGGACAAATACATTTCGGCGTCTCACTGATGCATCAAAGCATTCCAGACAACAACTCAACGATCGATGTGAAAACTGAGCAAGTCCATTAATTGATGAGCCTTGGAAGAAAATCATTCTTATGGATCTAGAGGCTCATAAAACAAGACATATTATATTTCAGCAAATTCCAGGTCAATTATTTGAGTGACCTCAAGATAAACTAGAAACAGAAAAGAGAGACAACGCATATGAATTTTTCTATGCGATGAGAAAATATCACGCAAATAATTTCAGATGAGAACAGCGCGTTCTCTCGACTAAACCCAAAATAACAGAACTCTTTCAGTATCTTTTGGAATTTGATCGATAAATGAAGTAACAACCCAATCAGGGCGCACCACTGAGAAACGCCTGTTTCAAAGCTTTGTGAAAAATACATCGAAATGAGTCTTTGGAATATGTTTTTACGCGAATTGTTTCTGTTCAAGTGTGCGGCTGCATACGTATTAATACTCCTTTCACAAACTGTGCGAATGGAAATGCATTAATTAAGACGAATTTGCAAGACGACGAATTCTGTTTTTATTGTTTTGGCATTGGTCATTTGAGAGAAACGAGAGGCTAAAGGCCTTTGGAGCGTATAGAAAAAGGCGCGAAGAGTCATAAAAAAGCATAATGAGCGAGCATTCGCTAATTGTAAATGCACTTTTATGATGGTTTTACGATCTAAATTTTTTCCCCTGATTTTTTTCGTGAGACATAAAATGGTAACTTGCTCGCGGAAAGGAAAAAAAACTTGCGCCACAATTTGACGATTTATTCGTCGCATGCATAGGAGCACAAATTAGCATCAAATTAGCTGTCGTTGGTTGCGAAATAAAGGCTTGCATAAGTATTTCCAACACTAAGGCCCGTAAAGAATATTTTTGAAAAAAAAAAATCAATCTCACTTACTCCAATTTTTCGGAACGAAAGAATTCAATTTCCTGACTTACAATTAGTTGAAAAAACGTACAACTGTCGCAGGCAAATAGTCAAATCATAGGCATTTCATCGAATGCCTCGGCAGATAGTCAAATTTTGATGGTTTACAAAAACATGTATATTTTTGACGAGGAACTATTAAGTTTCCATTGTTTTGAAAGTAATAATTCATCCAAACTACCAGCTTATCTTGTATTTTGCTCTCCAAATGCTCCCCAAATATTTTATTTTTCAGAATTTTAAAAAGTCGGTATTATAAGACATGCTGGAAATCTGAGAGAATAATTATTTTGTATAAAATTAGCAAAAGAATCAGAAACTCAATCCAAGTAAGATTATTCGACTATTTGCCTAGGCATTTAACCAAATGCCTAATTTGACTAATTGCCTAAGACATATCCATGTATATTATCTTCGTATTTAAAGGTGATTAAAGGCTTAATATTTGCTCAGAATTTATTTTCTTTATACTTGAATCCGTAATTTGTCTGGTAGTCAATTTCGGGATGAACCAATCTACTTCAGAAGGGTTATGGTGAGTGGAAATGGGGATTTCAAAGAAGATGAGCAGAGACTGACCTATGTGGACTAGTCTTCATAGAATGAGCCTTTTAGATAGTCCCTATACGTAGTGATCGATTCAAGGGTGTCTACTAAAACAGGCTGACCAAAAATCAGTACTTTTTCGGTAAATTTCCAAGAAATTCGGTACCT